TGGTTCATGTTATAGATGTGGTAGCACAGGCCATTGGTCAAGGACCTGTCGCACACCTGCACATCTTTGTCAACTTTATCAAGAGTCCATTAAAGGAAAAGGAAAAGAAGCAAACCTCATTGATAATGTTGAATTCACTCCGCTAAATGTTGCTGATTTCTGCAATGACATGGAAGACATAAACTAAAAAAAAAATCTATTATTGTTCTAGTAAAACTGTTTTTCCTTCGTTTGTTTTTCATGTAATGTCTTTCCTACAATAAATGAAATTTCTTTTTAATAATAATTATGATTATGTTTATTCACTTATTATTCCTTTTATATATGAAGTTTAATATGAGTCCAACTGGAGCACAACACCAAGAAAAGATTGGAGATCTTTGTATAGCAGATAGTGGTAGTACACATACTATTCTGAAATCAAAGAAATATTTTTCAGAATTAGTACCAACAAAAACAGTCATACATACAATATCAGGTCCTGCAGACTTGATAGAGGGAACCGGGAAAGCCCATTTTATATTACCAAATGGTACAAGCTTTTGTATAGAAAATGCCTTATTTTCTCCAAAGTCTAATAGAAACTTATTAAATTTCAATGACATATATTTCAAAGGTTATGACACAAAAACTGTGACCATTGAAAATAAGAAATATATGTATATTATAGACAAAAACCATATGCTTTAAAAACTACCAACACTTGATTCTGGTCTGCATTATACATATATACATATGATTGAATCAAATATGGTAGTAGAAGGAAAACATTATGATCCTGGGACATTCAGTTTATGGCATGATAGGTTGGGCCACCCAGGATTAACAATGATGCGAAAGATAATTGAGAATACACACGGGCATCCATTGAAGGACCAAAAGTTCCCTCAATCCAATAGCATAAAACCATGTACATCTTGTTCCCTTGGAAAGTTAATTATAAAACATTCTCCAATGAAAGTTGAAAGGGAGTCACCTAGATTTCTAGAAAGAATTCAAGGTGATATATGTGGACCGATTCACCCACCATCTGGACCATTTAGATACTTTATGGTCTTAATAGATGCATCCAGCAAATGGTCTCATGTTTGCCTATTATCAACTCGTAATATACATTTGTAAAGTTTCTTGCCCAAATTATTAAATTAAGGGCACATTTCCCTGATTATACTATCAAAAGAGTGAGACTTGATAATGCTGGTGAATTTACTTCACAAGCATTTAATGACTATTATATGTCTGTAGGAATTGTTGTTGAGCATCCAGTTGCTCATGTACACACACAAAATGGTTTAGCTGAATCACTGATTAAACGTCTCCAGCTAATAGCTAGACCATTGATAATGAGGACCAAACTTCCTGTTTCTGTTTGGGGCCATGCAATCTTACATGCTGGATCATTGATACGCATGAGACCAAGTTCATATCATGTATATTCTCCACTACAACTTGCTTTCGGTCAAGAGCATATCCCATTTGAGAATTTTTGGGTGTGCAGTATATGTCCCTATTGCACCACCTCAACGGACAAAAATGGGTCCTCAAAAAAGGTTGGGAATATATGTTGGTTATGAGTCAGACTCTATTATAAGATATCTTGAACCATTAACATGTGATGTTTTCACAGCACGCCTAGCAGATTGTCAATTTGATGAGGCAAATTTCCCATCATTAGGTGGAGAAAAGAAGATTCTGGAAAAGGATGTGTCATGGCATGAGCCTACTTTATCATATCTTGACCCTCGCACAAAAAGCAATGTGACATGGAAGTTCAAAAGATAATGCATTTCCAAGAAATGACAAATGAATTACCTGATGCATTTACTGACACAAAAAGGTGACTAAATCATATATACCAGCTGTCAATGTTACAGCTCGAATTGACATTCCACATGGACAATCTGATGATAAAGTCACTCAAGAGTCTAAAACACGCCTGAAGCGTGGAAGGCCATTTGGTTCTAAGGATAAGAACCCACGAAAAAGAAGAGGAGCAGAAAATGCACTAGATCACGATGAAAGTGTTCCTGGAGAAACACGAATTATTCAAATTCCTCCAGGAAAGGAGGATGATGCATTAAATTATGGTCAGACAAATAGAATATGTGACCAAAACGAAACTGACAATATAGGTGCAATATTTTCTTATTCAGTTGCATGTGATATTATGAATGATGATCCCGAACCACAATCTGTCATTGAATGTCAAAGAAGAAATGATTGGGCTAAATGGAAGGAAGCTATGCAAGTTGAATTAAATTCTCTTAACAAGAGAAAAAGTTTTTGGGAACATTATCCTCACACCTGAAGTTGTGAAACCATTAGGATATAGATGGATCTTCGTACGAAAAAGAAATGAGAAAGACGAAATTGTAAGATACAGGGCCAGGCTTGTTGCTCAAGGTTTCTCTCAAAGACCTGGAATTGATTATGAAGAAACTTATTCACCGGTAATGGATGCAACCACTTTCAGATATTTAATCAGCTTGGCAGTATCTAAAAATTTAGAGATGCGTCTTATGGATGTTGTTACAGCTTACTTGTATGGATCACTTGATAGTGATATCTATATGAAAATCCCTGAAGGATTTAAAATGCCTGAAGCGTTAAGTGCAAAACCCAAAGAAATGTATTATATAAAATTACAAAGATCTTTATATGGGTTAAAGCACTCTGGGCGCATGTGGTACAATCGTTTAAGCGATTATTTGACAAGTAAAGGATATAAAAATAACACTATTTGTCCATATGTATTTATTAAGAAAACAACATCTGGATATGTGAGCATAGCAGTCTATGTTGATGATCTAAACATCATTGGAACGAATAAAGAAATCATTGAAGTGATTGAACTTTTAAAGAAAGAATTTGAAATGAAAGATCTTGGAAAAACCAAATATTGTCTTGGTTTACAGATTGAGCATATGCCTAACGGAATACTTGTGCATCAATCAAATTACACAGAAAGAGTCTTGAAACGTTTCAATATGGAAAATGCAAATCCTTTAAGCACTCCAATGGTTGTTAGATCATTAAATATTGACAAGGATCCATTTCGTCCATGTGAAGAAAATGAAGAAGTCCTTGGTTCAGAAGTACCATATCTAAATGCAATTAGAGCTCTTATGTATCTTACCAATTGTACTAGACCTGACATTTCTTTCGCTGTAAACTTGCTAGCAAGATTTAGTTCAGCCCCAACAAAAAGACATTGGAATGGAATCAAACATATTTTCGATACCTTCGAGGAACTAGTGATTTAGGGTTATTTTACCCTAACAATTCAAAACAAGGCTTGATTGGTTATGCAGATGCAGGTTATTTGTCTGATCCTCATAAAACTAGATCTCAAACTGGATATGTATTCATGAATGGAGGTACTACAATTTCCTGGCGTTCTCAAAAGAAAACACTTGTTGCCACATCCTCAAATCATGCTGAAGTAATTGCACTAAATGAAGCTAGTAGAGAATGTACATGGTTAAGATCAATGACATAACTAGTTTTAACTTCATGTGGACTTGAAAAGGATATATGTCCAACTTTAATTTATGAAGATAACTCAGCATGTGTCACTCAAATGAAAGAGGGATATATCAAGAGCGACAGGACAAAACATATACCTCCAAAGTTTTTTAAGTACACTCAAGAGCTTATAATGAACCATCAAGTTGAAATCAAATATGTTCAATCCAGTAACAATGCAGCAGACCTTTTTACGAAGGCACTTCCTACTGCAATCTTCAGGAAACATGTCCATGGCATCGGAATGCGACATGTGCATAGAATATAATGTGACGGATGTCTAAATAAGGGGGAGTCAACTATACACTGCACTCTTTTTCCCTTCGCTAAAGTTTTTTTCCCACTGAGTTTTCTTTAGCAAGGTTTTTAATGAGGCAGTACGTCAAAGTTGAATGCTAAAATGATGTCATCCAAGGGGGAGTGTTGTAAATAATTGGTGGATGACATAATAATTGCTGCATGGTAAATTTGTTAACATTTCTAACTAGTTACAATTATATGTTAGTAAAATTTGTAGTATAAATACCCCTCCATTATAAAGAATGAGACACACCAAAAGTTATAAGAGATATAACTTTCATATTCTTTCTAAATATTCTTTCTTCTCAATTAAAGTTCTTATCAAAATTTACTAGTTTGGTTTGATTTATAGTTACATTAATTACGCTTAATTCATAACAAAAAATATATATATATATATATATATATATATATATATATATATATTAAAGAAATGAAAGTGAGGAACAATGAAGTTCCTAACAAGTTGATAGAAATGGTCCTCTGTCTATATGTGGTTATAATTCTTGGTCGTTTCTTTTAAAGGGTCATATTTTGCCATTTTCAATATTCTGTCTACACGTGTTCTTCTTTTATCTCCTCCACCGCCTCCCTTACTCGGTAAGCCAATAACATTACGATTGGTGTCATCCCTTCTTTCAAGAATCACTGCTTACACCCTATTTTTTCATCTGTTTTTTCTTCTTGCCCCCGCCTCCAACGACTCGCTTTAATCGACTTCACCGCCTAAAGACCTCAATAGTTTCTAGGGTTTTGTTCCTTTTCTGCCTTCGGTAGTCTTTTGGGGATATTGCGTCTTCCTTTCCGATTATTCTCATAAACAGAAGGCGGTGACGGAAGGAGTTCACTCCAATATTCCGATGACGGAAGGAATCGCCACAGGTGGAGAAGCAGCTCGAGAAAACGCTGACAGAGGCCAACGTCACCGCTGTCGTATTTTTTTACCTCGATCGCCACCACCATCAGCCGCCTCATCTGGACCTGCGATTAGGGCTTGATGAATACCATCGCTCCTGCCGGACTACACGGTAAGGAATTCGATCTTTTGCTTTTCCTGGTGTCTGGTATTCGTTTTTTGGCTTCGTTTGTTGTATGGGGGTTATCACTATCGCCTAATTACCATATCTTTTTTCGATTACAGTATGGTCGAAGAAGGAACGCACTTGAACTGAGAAATGGTTGAGATTTTCCCTAACAGTTTCGAATCAGAGGTGATGGAGACAAAATATATTTCACCCGATAACTGCATCTTTTGCCTTCTGCTTCTTCTTTTCCATTTTCTAATTATATTTTGTTTGTTTCTCTCGATTAGAACCAGTAATTGAAGAATCTCCTTTCCAGGCTGCTAAAGAAACATAATACCCCTGACGATAGTTGAAGGACTACGCTTTACGTTTGGTGCTCCTCTTGATGAATCACGGGTAAGTTTCCTCTTTCTACCTCTACATCTTTCTCAACTTATTCATTCTTTCTCTACTAAACACGTTTTGGGTTCTGTAAAAGAGATCAATTTTTTTTAATACATATCAGAATATTCAACTTTGTATGATTATGTATTGATTTCCCGTTCAAAATTGTCTTAATCCTGCTTAATTTTACATTGTTGTATAAGTCAATCGTTAATGAAGCTTTTTTCCTTTTGAGTTAGATGTTATGAAAAACTGTTTGGGTGATGAAATAATACATATGTATCTTCTTAAACTATGAGTTTATGATGGCACTCAAGTTGTTTGATGAAATGTTTTAGAGAGAATTCAACCCATGTTTGTATTTTCTAATTATAAAATGAGTATTGTTGGTCATCTTACCTGGTAATCCTTGCTGCAGTTTGTGATTGTGTTAAATAATTTTTGGCTTCATCAATCCTATTGAATTATTAATAGGTAATGTTTTACATCTGTAGATAAGCTAACATTTTGGTATCTGCTTTTTGCCAATAGAATTCTGTTACATTCAATTCACAAATTTTGCTGATGACCCGTATCGTGTTGACAGCTCATCCAAAAGTCACATGTAAGTATATTTACACGAATACAATATTTGAGAACGTTCTAATTAATCATAGATCTTTTTGGTGCATTATAAGGTTTATGAACTAGGTTGGAAGCAGGATGAATTCATGTTACAAGGCATGTATTTGGGAAAGTTTTATTCTTTTTTACTTTCTCTATTAATTCGATTTTTATGTTTATTTATACTCATATTTCATAAGTGCAGTGTCATAAAGATGTATCTGATCCGACTGAAGTTGTTGCACGGATCAAACTATATTTTGCTTACATGAGTGTATGGTATGCTTAAAACGCCACTTTAATTTTCATTTGATTTGTTATCAAACTGAATCTCTTAATCGGAAAATACTCCAAATAACAAATTGAATTAATCGATATTTCAGTGATGGCCCACCCCAAGATTCCGGCAGCGACCACTAACAACTTCACCAGATTAGTAGCAGATTTCGGATTTCCAGGTATACGCTCATATACTTTTTCATTTTTCTTAATTTTTTGCACCATATGAAGTTTCTTTTCTTTCTACTGCTATTGTACCTGAATGATTTTTTTGAATGTTGCTTAGGTGGTGATTCAGTTTTGAATTTTTTTGCACCATATGAAGTTTCTTTTCTTTCTACAGCTGTTGCGATTTGTGGGTTTTTCCGAATTTGGAACATGTGTAAATTGATCAAAAAAATTTGTTTAATTTTAATTTTCATTTTGAATTGAATCCATGAAGAACAAGGTTTTTTTTTGGTAGATTCTAAAATTGTTGTGCTTCTGTAGGTGGGATATACTGCTTCTACTAAAGTCGCTCTCAGGATTGATTTATATTTATCGGTTCCACGACATTATGCTTCATCAATTGATCACGATTACTCATTATAGTCTCTCAAACACTCTAATAGCTCCTATGGTCATGGTTGAAATTGGACCCGTAGATATGGAGACACTCTTCATCAGAAAGCATAAAAACCATAAATTTATAAATTTCAAAATTTACAAGAGGAGAGGATAAAAAATATATAGGGGCAAGGGCTATGTTGTAATTCATGTTGATTGGAATATTTGCAGGTAGAAACCAAAAAATGCCATGTTTAAAAAGATCCAATTATGATGATGATCATAAATTTGAAAGGGTTTTTCATAATTTTAATCTTTTTGGTATATTGGTCAACAGGAGAATATTGTTCACAGAGGAGGCTGCATCAGAAACCATAATTCAACATAAGGGACAAAAGGGTATAATTGTAATTTTGCTCATAAGTGTATCAACTTCTATTTTTTTTCATCTACAATTGTTTGTTGCCATCATTTTGAATGCGTCGGTAAGACAATTCTTGACCCATGCAGAGCAATGACTCCTATTATTATTATTATTATTATTATTATTGTTGTTGTTATGGTTATGGTTATGGTTATGGTTATGGTTATGGTTATGGTTATGGTTATTATTTATTTATTTAAATTTATTTATTTATTTAAATTAGAATAATAAAAAATCTTGATCGACTTATTGTTATTATTATTATTGTTATTATTATTATTATTATTATTTATTTATTTAAATTTATTTATTTATTTAAATTAGAATAATAAAAAATCTTGATCGATTTATGTTAATTACATATGATCAGATTATAATGACATATGATAAGATTATAAACCCAATGATAGTGTCACTTAAATACCTTATTGGGGGGTTTTATGCCACTACTAAAAGTTTTTGGATTTTTAAGAAAATAACCAAAATTCTTATGAAAATATAAACGTAAACTTACGTATTTGCTTAATCTGACAAAAAGGGAACTCAATGGCTTATAATTTAGTCAATGGGAGGTTGAGATGTTTGTGTTTTCACTTTCTTCTCAAGTGTTAGTTGATCTTCCGCCTGATGGTTAGGAAAATACGTATTTCAAGATATAATATTATTCAACTAACTTTTTAATGTAACTCGTTCTCTAGTATTATGTGTTGATGATTCAACTTTTACGAATGTGTATTTGCATATATATTAGATTCAACAATAGTATAAATTAAAAAAAAAAAAATTTACACGAAATTAAATGACTATAAGAAGTGTAGTCAAACCATAGTTGTTTAGTAAGGAACCAAAAATGCACATACTAGATACGACACTTCTAAGTTGTGTTGGGGTTGATCTTGGGGGCTTCTTTTGCAACAAAGGTTAGACTAATCCATCGAAATAAAAACACAGACATACAAGATCAAGCATTTATAAGTTGACATATCTTGAATAGTCATATCCTCTAGTTCATCATTGCTCAATCGTTCTTCGACCTCATGGATAATAGAACATTGACAGGTAGCATCCAACATATGCGGATCTAGTATATATCCCGGGGTAGCCCGAGATGCCCCTCAAAAAAAAATTTAGTAGTGGAATTATTTTCGAATTTTTTTTTCTTATTGTATATTATGCGATTTTTTTTTGTTGGGGATACCCTTTTATTTGTCGGAATACCCCTTTACTTTGACCCTGACTCCGTCACTGGTATCCAAAACATTAAGAGATGGTTTATTCTCTACGAAAATCGAGATATTAACTCATTATAAGTTGCATGTTTGATTTCCTTATGTTAGTCTTCAATGTTAAACATGTAGAGTAATGTCAAGAGGAGGAGCCAGAGCACCAACAATCGCTATCGATTAGGGAACAAAATATTCAAAAGGCATTGTTGTATTGAAACACGATAAAATGAGATGATAACAAATGGTCGACAATTGAAAGGAGATCAAGAATCACATTGCAATAATCAGAGAAGTATTTTAACATATAATATCCAAACACTTAAATCGATGGAAGTAGATGACACTACACCTCTTCTATAGTGAACATTTATGTCTGCATGGTTGAGTGAAACATTGCGAATGTGTGAAAAATTACTACTAATGAATAAATAGTTGCACGTTCATACTTAGCGATTTTTATTTGGTAGAGATAGGTGAATAATCTTAAACTATCCTAGCGAAGAATAAAGTGTCCATGTAAATGTTTATTGGTGATATGACATGTCAGAAATGGTGATCTTGCGAGGTTGTTGGCGTTTATTCGCAATGGCTATGGTTATCTTGTTAGGATTCGAAAGAATTGGTTGTGGATATACACTTCTACTTTATATGGTCATTTTGGTGAATAACTCATACTTATAAGTATTTCCTTTCACATAATTATGTATATAGTAAAGGTTCATTTGATACATATATTATGTCAAATTTGATAATTTTCTTGTTATAAATGATTTGAAAGCAAGAAGCAAAATAAGAACACCAAGAACACAAAACACCGATGGAAAGCCTTGTAGGGGGAAACGATAGGATTCTACTTGACATAATAATGAAATCGACCAAATTGAAGAAGGCTACATGAATCTAGTCGATAATATGAAGAGGATATAATGGTATGATAAAAAACTATGACTAGAAATGCTTTTTTTATAGCGTTGTACAAAGAATACTTTTGTAGTTTTGTGCCCGTGTTAATCAATATATATATATATATATATATATATATATATATATATATATATATATATATATATATATATATATGTTCATGGGTGCGTAGTGCGTAGTTAAACATTTCAGCTATTCGGCTTAAAATCAACAAAAATATTAAAGGTATTATGCATAGATACAGATTAGAGAAGATCAATCAAGAAGATTGATAAGGAGCATCATCATAGAATGATAGTGGCAAAATTTTGTAAAAAATAGATAAAACAAAAAGGACCAAGCAACAATAGTTAGGTCTTCCATCTTCATCTCTTATCTTCATAACCACTTCTTAACTTCTACATAAACCCCATTCATCTTCATTACTCCCATTCATTCTTTACAGTTTTCCCACTTTTTTACTCTAACAAGTCCTCCAATTTTCATTCATTGTTAAAGAAAAAAAAACGCACAAATTTGGCAATGTTTCAAAGGACCAAAAGGCTGTTCAAAAGAAGCATTGAAACATTCAAGTCCTACTTCTCCGATGGTTACCAAAAGCTTCCTAAAACCCCATCATACAATGTCGGTTTCAGCCCAACAAATATGTACTCTGAATTCGTCGATCAATGGGAGGCTGCAGACCGCATTATGGCAGTTGCATACGAAAATAATACAGACAACTTGAAGCACAAGAAATCATCTATGTTGATCAATCAACATGAAGTTAATAGAAGGAAGCAACATAAACACGAAGAAACAACACTTAAAGGAGAGGAAAAGAGGTATATGGTGACAAGAAGGTTGAAAGAATTGGAACTATTCGATGGAAATAATGTGGATCATGTTCTTGATATTCAAGAAGTTCTTCATTACTATTCTAGATTATCATGTCCTACTTATCGTGAAATGGTCGATAAATTTATGATGGATATATACTCAGAGGTCCTTAGTTTACCAAGTCGATCTTGATTCAAAGGCAAGACGAATGCATGATCGAGTTTAGATCATTCGTGTCTTATTCTTTCACAAAAACACCCAATAGATTTCTGCAACCTACTGTCTGTTTAGAAGGTAATTGGATTAAAAGCCGTAACTTTTTTCTTTTGTTTCAAATTCATTTGTAAAATGCTTATGACTTTTTTATTTGCGTCGTGTTGCTCGGTTTGACTAACTTACAATGTACGTTTCACGATTCTTCTTATCTTATGGATAGAGGGTGATTGATGTCAATATAGGAAAATAATGTGGGGTACTCTTTGGTATGATAAGTTCAACCTAGCTTCAAAGCAAAGTCAAGGTTACAAGTAAAAACTCGACATCACACAAAGTTGCATTTTAGCCCTTATAATTTTATAATTTCCCGTTCAGGAGAATTTATGGTGTATATATATATATATATATATATATATATATATATATATATATATATATATATATATATATATATGTTAGTTCATTTAGAGGGTTGTTATTTTCGTGTTCATGAAGGATAATGATGATTTAACTTTATGGTTTTCCTTTGGGCGTTTATTTATGTATGTAATTGTCTTTAGATAAGAAGAAGAATCCTTTCGATCAAGAAAGAATATGAAACCCTTTTTGCATGCCACTTGCCCACTTCTTAAGATTCTTTGAAAATGTTAGCTGCTAGTTTATATTAGGGTGTTTTTTTCTTCATTAATTTATATAATAAAGTTTGTATTGTATGAGTTATGCAACCTCTAATTCTCGGGTCAAAAAATATAAATTTTATGTCGAATAATTTACCTGATTAAAACATAGTTATATACTATTCCGAAGAGAATATAGTTATATATATATATAACTCATGGGCCATGAATGGCAAACCAACTTATAAAATGATAATGACGTGAAACTTATAATTCTTTGCGTAAACGAGTTGGAGATGGCAGGAATACTAAAATTTGGGAGGAGATTTGGATCGGAGAAGAGCCTTTGAAAGTAAAATTTTATGGATTGTATATTTTGGATAAAATGTGACTGTTTGATTGCGGATAGGTGAAACATATATTAGACTTGGGAATGGAGTAGATCTCTATCACGGGAGGAAGATTAAAGTGTCATTTGGATGATCTTATTAGCATGCATGCTTGCAGTGGCAAATCCAAACCGAAAGTCAATGGGGTCCAGTTTTTAGTTAATATAACAAAAAACTAAAAAAATTAAAGTAATATCAGGATTATAATCTGTGTATTTTTTTTTCTATCAAATGGATCTCAAAGAAGCTCACTTAGATCAATTTCACCAGACACTTATGTGGTAGAGCTAGGTTTGTGGAATATTGTTGAAGGCATTCTCGTTGATAGTTTTTTTTTATATAAAACTTACTAATAAATAACATATCTCAATCAACAATCCCAACTAATTATAGATTAAAATTAACGAATTCTAAAAATCTACTGCCATGGTTAGCAACAATACAAACATATAATACTAGCAATTACATAATTATAAATTAAAATTAACTATTAAAAGATAACAATCAATACTAAACAGGCCATCGGAGCAGGGGGCGTATCTACCATACAAGAAGGTAGGTTCTAGGACCTACCTAAAATTTGAATTTCATTTATAATATATATACCACAAAAATTAGGAACTATTTTAGAAAAAATAGAGGACCTACCTTGAGTTTGTTTTTCTAAAAAATGTCTTAAAAAACCATTTTAAAAGGGGCAAAAAATAAGTTATATGAGACATTTGTGCTGTTAAATATATAGGGTTAAATATAATATATAGTTTTTATCAAACAATAAGGTATCAATGCACTAATAATCAACTAATTTTTCATTAAATTGTTCGGTTTTTTCAATTATATTCCAGTCGGTTTTTTTTTAAAATTTTAATTGGTGGTGGCTGATCGGTTTTTTCAGTTATATTTCATTAAATCGTACACGACCCGACCCGACCCGACCCCTCACAAGTGTTGTTGATTTTTTTTATCGGCTTCACTTAATTTGGGAACCACGTTATATTTTGTTCTAGATTCGCCACTGCATGGGAGTGAAAATGGTTTCTTGCTTGTAGGTTGGCAAATTAGTTGTTACAACTAATAATACAAACATGGAGATTCAACTAAAATTAGAACTAATAAATAACAAATAGAAAACAACAGTTGCCTCACCTTGGTAAATATCGAGAGGCTTGATAAGAAGAAGGGTTGTGTACGTGGGTGCCAACAATTTAACAAGTGAGGCTATTGGCCAGGTTAAAAGAGAAAAAGGGAGTGATAAGGCTTGGAGGAGTGGCTGCGGTCTCTACCGCAGTCTCCTTCCACCTCAGCATGAACACCGCCCCTCCACTGCGGTTTGGGTGCGGTGGAGGCCGCACTGCGGTAGTCCACGGCCGCACTCCCTTTTCTTTTTCTCCTCTTTTACTTCCTTTCTCTCTCTCTCTCTCTCTCTCTCTCTCTCTCTCTCTCTCTTCTCTCAACCAATCGCCTTCTTTTTTTTCTCTCCTAACCATTTTCTCACTCCCACATTGCGGTTTCAAATTGATGAAATAAGAAAAAATATGAGTTCGCGTCTACATGGCATAGGAGGGAGTGCGGTTTCAGTGACACCACTCCCTCCAGCCTAAGAAATTTGAAAATGTGTTCAATTGGGTTCAAATGCGGGTGCCAACAATTTAACAAGTGGGGACCAGTAGACCAGTTTGTAAATTTTTAAATAAAGATTTTTTTAAAAACTAAAATATAGTGTGGGGAACACCTCCAAGTGGGGCCATGCATCCTATTTCTATCACATTGCATCCGCCACTGCATGCTTGGTGTCAGTTCGGTTTACTTCTCAAAGGGATGTTTGGTCTTGGGAGATGAGAGGACAAATGGAATGTACGGTTAACGGGATTCGTTATGCTATTATTGATAACTGGTTGTCGGATGGGTTGATGTCTAGTAGATGGAGCCGATGTATCCCTCTAGGGATGAGCTTTAGAACCAGACCGGTTCGGAACCGGAACCGGTTTTCCTATATTATAAGAACCGGGAACCGGACCGCCGGTTTCGGTTTCGGTCCCGGTTTCGGTTATTTTTCAAACTAGAACCGGTTGAAATATTATAGATGATATGTTATCTTCCGGAGCTTGTAAATGATTCAATATTTAACCAAATTATGACTTTTTACATTCTAAATTGAAGTACAAACACTAAATTAGATGATGAAAAAAGAATCAAGTAATTCTGACTTCATATGAGTGAGTTATGCGCATTTTAAAAGCGGGACAAATTTAAAAAAAAAATGCTGAAACAGAAAATATGCAACATTGATATGTTGTCTTCCGAGGTCTATAACTGATTCAATATCTAACCAAAATATGTGTTTTTATAGTCTAAAATGAACTACAAACACCAAATTACATGCTGGAAAAAAATTAAGTAATTCTGACGTCATATGAATGAGTTATGCTCATTAAAAAAAAATGTGACAGATTAAAAAAAAACAAAAAAAAAATGCTGAAATAGAAAAAACGCAGCATCGATATTCTTTCTTTCGGGGCATGTGTCTAATTCAATATCTAACCAAAACATATGTTGAAGAATTCAAGGCATAATCCAAGATCAATTTATGCATAAACATAGATAATCGTAAATCAATTAAGAAATACTTACTTGGATATATATGATTGATGTTGAAGATGACCGCCTTATGATTCCTTATCTTTCCGTAATGGTGCCTTAATGATTTTCTGATGGAGAGATGAGAATGCACGATCATGGTGTTTATAAGGAGGAAGAGCATAACTGAAAAGACTCTTCAATTATCCTCTTGATCGTTCATATATTGCATCATTTGCACCTTATGGAAAAGATATTGGAACCACACAATTATAGTCCCTTAAGTTATGGAAAATTATCATATCCATCATACTATAAATATTTAATTCCAGGTGCCCTGATACGTCATTATGGCAAACATTATGGTACACAATATAAATGTACATAACATGTACTAAGTATTACAAAATAGTCCTAAGGCCACAATAATGTGTTATTTTCCAACATTCTCCCACTTGGCCGAGTGACTATTTGTATACATGTTTCATTATTTGGCCAAGATAAGTTCATCATGTTTCATATTAGTATCAAAAGCAGAAAAGTACAGCCTTGCGCATCCATTTTAGATACGGGACCCCACCGATCATACTATGGTACTTCATATGAAACTTACGATTAATTTAAGCCAAATGACTTTATAATTAAGTGATAATGCATTATATTGTTCTATATATAAAGTAATTGTGCACAAGTTATTAATAAATGCAAATTGCGTATTATAGAGGAATAATAATCAAGTACTTGAATAAATAACATTAAAATTAAATTAAAGCACTATGCTAAAGTAACATAATAATAGGTGTATCCTTAAACCCATATTGACGACATGTTCAAATAACTAGGTGGTAGACCTTTCGTTATCGGATTCGCTAGCATATTATCAGTGTTAATGTGTTCGATACAAATATTATTCCCCCCACTTGCTCTTAAATGAACAAGTATTTTGTATCGAGATAAAGCCTCATTCCATTATAATTATTGCTAATGGAAAACTTGTAGAGGCAAAATTATAGCAATAAGTTTTCTTTTAATGGCCAAGAAATGGATTTTACGCTCATGAGTCACGTGACTTAATTTCTCAACAACATTCCAAGGAAAGTTTCATTATCTATGAAAACAAATTTCGCCATCATAGTTGATATAGTCGTCAACGTTTATTTATGACTCTATCATGATATTGGCCGACTGATAGCATAAAGATGTATCCTAATAATGACTATTTATCTCTGCATTTTGCAAATTCATAGTCAAAAAACATATCACTTATACGTTGTTACTTATTTCACTAAAGGTGTTTGTTACTATTAGTCCAATGAAAATACTAGAAAACTTTATTGGCAGCTTCCTAGTGATTTAGACCATGATTTAATGATAACGACTAAGCATGCCACCG